TACCGTGTAGTTATGAAATGAAAACAGAAAAATTTTAATACAATTTTTCTCTGCCCTTTTAAATTGTTGTGATTGGTTGTTTGGAATAACATTCTAAATTATTAGCACGAGCTAATCACTTAGCTTTAAACTGTGTGGTGTCTGCTGAAGTGCAGATGTGAGGACTGAATTCACATGTGGAAGCCTAGAGTTACCATTTCCCGCCTACACACATGCTAGTCACCTCTCAGCAGAATAGCTGCACCATAAAAGGAGCTGCCTGCCTGGCCTGCGGCCCCACTACAATTCCAATATTCTACTGTTCATACCTCAGATCTTTCTCCTCACCAGCACATTGTGTTGAGTATCGTGTGACACTGCTCTGGGAAAATGTGAACAAGTATCTCCTCATTCCAGAAAGGGAAGCAACAACAGAGCAAAGTCACAGTACCACTAGAGGCCAATTTGGTGAACCAATGAGTTTACTAAGGTTATTGGATAACTCAAAGGCACAGCCATCACAGAAAGCCCACCACAGCATGGAGATGCCCTCTACACAACATCCAGGTAGTTGGACAAATCAGTCTCCTCTCTATAGCAGTCCTTATGCTTCTATAACCTTTAAGGAAGGGGTCATGTGTGTGCTCAATTTCAAGGACTTCCAGAGACTATGAGTTGCTTACTTCCTGAGTCTTAATGAGCTTCTCTCTGGGATGGAATTTCTACATAGCCCTGGGTCACTGGTGGGCACTTTCTCCCACAGAAAAGGCCCTAGCTACCCTGGTTGCTTTTCCTTTCTCCTTTCCCTGGACAAGTCTCAGAGAAGTCACAAGTGGAGAGGTTATAATAGGCTCCACCTTGTTATTAGAACTGAGAAGGAAAAGTGAATGCATAGAACAAAGAGAACAACTTGAAGCAGCAAAGGAAAAGGATTTTCCAGATCTGAAGCTAATCCAGACCAAACTTAAGTGGTCAAAGACCCTCAATATGACTTAAAAGGGGGTCAGTGTTCCACCTAGTAATGCTGTGGAAGACCTCAGGAACAACAGGGTGTTCAAAGGAACAGCACGGCACCACACAGATGTCTCAGAGGTTCAGCATAAGCCAAAGGTCTGGGCATCATCAGGGGGAAGTGCAACAGCCTAGAATTCTATGAAAACTGTAAGAAGAAGAGTCTGAGAGAGACAAGAGTTCAGACGGACAATGCCGTTATGACTCCAAAGTGTCTTCTTGGGATGAGCACTGAAGATTGTGTTTCCTAAAGAAAGAAAATTACCCTAGATGGGAGTTTGTGGTATAAGTAGTAAGTGAAGAGAAAGAGGGCTATCTCATAGGCATTGAATCTGCCAAACAAGAATAACAGTGTGTCCTCAACAAGTCAAGTCAGAGCGTTCTAGTGTTTGCAAATCTGGACCGGAAAGGGATACTTGAGTGAAAGCATTCTGAGACCCTCATATTGGCTCAGAAGATAAAGATCCTGGTTAACTTTGGACTGTGATGATCTAAGCATGCATCTCCAGGGTGGGAGCTAAAGAATAAGAGTTTTCACCTTTAAGGTGCTAGAGAAAAAAGCTAAAAATACAAACTTTGTATTGGAGAACAGAGGTTTATTTGTTTTGTTTTTAGTGTGGGATGGCTCAGCAGGTCAAGGCAAGTGATGTGGAGCCTGATGATTAGAGTTCAAAGCCCAGGACCTACATGGAAGAAGACAAGAACTGAGTCCCAGTAGTTCTTTGACCTCCACACTTAGGCCGTGATGTGCACACCCACACAGGAAATAAATGCAATAGTGACGAGTAAGGTGATGGAACAAAAGAATACACAGGTGTCAGTAATTACACAAATGAGACTGATCAGTTGTAGGGTAGTGTGCACACACCTGTGTGCAGTCACACTCAGGTCTTATTCACAGGTGCAGACAGCCAGCCTAAGCATCTCCAGTCACAGGTGAATGGGAAACAGTTTCTAAGTGAGACCCAACTACTGTGGGCAGCAGATGAGCATGTGATGGTCATCTGTCACTGTACCCTTCTTACACCAGTCTCCTATAGTCTAATTTCCCAGCTCTTAAGATTGAATCCAGTGCCTCATTTATGCTGGTTAAGTGAACTGATGCCAAGCCCTTATATTTTGAAAAAGGAGCTGTGGGTGGCCCTGAATGAGATCCCTCTCCTGCCTCAAATGGCACTGATCTCATCTCCTAAACTGCTTGTCTTTCTGAGGCATCAAAGTCCTACACAGATGACCACAAGCCAGTTGGCTTTAAATTCTAGGAAAAAGGCGGGTCTGACCTGAGATGGGGAACAGCATGTAAAATGCAAGTGGTAAAATGGTATTCTGGATATACTGGGTAATGAAATACTAAATTTATAAGCCTATTCAACATGGTTACTAGAAATTTTAGCACTGTTCATGTAGCTCCAACTACATTCCTGACACAGTGGTGTTGTATAACTAACTCCTGAATCTTTCAGGTCCTCAGAGCAATTATATTATGGCAAAAGACTTATAAATACAGCATGTGATGCTATGCAATAACTAGATACACCCAGTCTTGGAAAGTGATTTCCTTAACAGAAAATGTTCTTCCTCTTGCTCAGAGAGACCAAATCTTTATAGTAGCCTCATTGAAATCCAGAGAATTATTCTCTTTCCCAGCCATCTGACTCTTGACCCTGCAAGCTCTCCCTCTGTGACTGTGCTATTACTACTCACCTGAGCATTCTGCCAGTGTAACTGTCCCTAAAAACTCAAACTGGGACTAAAGTAGAGCACAGTGCTAGAAGCAGGCGATGCACAGCCATAGTGCCCAGGATCTAGGGCCTTGCACCTAAACTGGACACCCAACATGAAAAGATGATCTCTTCTCTATGGAACATCCTAGTGGGTAAACAGAGTCCCTCTGTTTATCTTTAGCTGGGCAGCATATAAAGATGGGTGTCACCTGTGAGTTCCTGGTCTGAAGAACCTGGCCATAGTTTCTCTTCCTATCTGGAAAGGCTGAGCCCAGGAAGGCAACACTGGTTGAAGAGATATAAATAATCTACTTGTTAAGAACAAAGAGCTAGGTTAGCTGACCTAGTGAATTATATTAAGTATCTGTGAAAAAGGAAACTCAGTATGATCAGAGAATGCTCTTGTGCCTGTCATACCCAGCTTTCATAAATACTGGTATAATAGAAAACACTGTGAAATTTCATTTTCTAAATTTATTAATTATAATGAAATGCTGTGTGAAGTGGTACCATCCTATTTTGTAGACATTTGAACTTCTGTCTAGAAGGTAATTGTGAAGAATTCCCTACAATTATGTTTGAAGCAAATAAGACCACAATTGCAATGGCATTTAAGCACAGGACATTTAATGTGCATTTTAATGCATGTTCTAATTAAGAAAAATAACTCATGAAAACTTACAGGAAAAAATGAGTTGGAGCAGCTCATTATACAACTTTGTAAGCAAACCACTAACAACAAAAAAAAAAAATCTCTTTGAAACTGGCTTTCATGTAGCTCAGGCTAGCTTCAAGCTTTTGATCCCCTGCCTAAAGTCTCCTGACTGCTTGGGTTATAGGTGTGCACCACCATGCCTCCTTACTATCTCAATACAAACCCCACTAAAGTTTAAGGCATGTTACACTTCTAATAAGTTATATAGTACTTATAAAACTTTGCTCTTTTAAAATAAGGCGACAGCATCTTGAGGAATGGGCAGGCACAGTGTCAAACCATTGTAACTGTAGAAGGTAAAACCACAGACGTCAAAGAATCACAGCAGACGTATCCAGATGAGTCAGGAAGCAGGCAGGTTAAGGTCTATTTAATAGCAGTAGGTAAAGCTAATGGGAAACTTGCCCGGGAATACCCAACCTTCCTGTGTGGGTACAGTAGTTCACTCTAGTAGGTGCTTAAAAGAGTTGGGAATCCTGTTCATGCCATTCGAGATGACTACATGCCCTGCCTCAGCCAGCCAGCATCTAATACCCAAGTCATTTGTCCTAAGACCAGTTGCTTTCCTAAATCTGTTTTTGTATGATTTTATAATTATGTGTCTGTGTGTGTGTGTGTGTGTGTGTGTGTGTGTGTGTATGCTCATATATGTACATATATAACTTTATAAAGTAACTGGGTTTAGAGGAACACTAGAGACTTATTTAAGGTTAATACTTCAAATGCTGCATATGCTGACTCTATACTGACACTACTAGTGTAGAATTCAACCTAAGTCCCAAGGGATCTTTCTGTAGTGGGGCATCTTTGTTATCTGTGCTAAGAGGAAGATTTTTAAAGTCATTCGGCAAGGTGTGTTTCAAATTGAGACCTTAGAGCTTAATGAAAAAAAAAAGAAAAAAGAAAAAAAAAAAACCAAAGCAAAGCAAAAAGACAAACCTCCTTTGCTTGGATTCCCTCTTTTCTGCTTACACTAAGAGCACCTATAATCTAGAGCCACAGCTTCACAGGCTGATGAGCGAAGCATAAGAGATAACTCCAGTCCCCACATGCCTGGTGGCAGTGCCAAGAAGTTACACACTGTGCTGTGTAAGTCCTCTAAGATTCTAATTCCTCCCTCCTGCCAGCTTTAGTCCCAGATACATTCCTTGCTAACTGCAGCAGAGGAAAAAGTATCTTCTCTGTTTTTACACTTCCCTAAATTGTTGAGCTGGAATCCTGTGAATCAGACCAACAAAAGACAGATTAGCAAGAGAAAAGTATAAACACTTACTTAATAAAGTCTCCTGGGACATGGACACCTTACAGAAATAAAGACCTTAGTCAACAGCTAAGCAGCAGTAAACTGGGCTCTCACTGATGAAGAATGTAAAGTCCCAAAAAGGAGACAGCTGAGGACAGAAAGACAGGCAGTTTGGCCTGACCTATTCTAGGTTTCTCAGGACTGCTGTCCTCAGAGATTACAGTGGGGCCTCATGACAGCTTCTGGAGAAAAAAAGAAGCCAAGTTCCTCCTTCAGGAATGACTCTGCCCTGTCATTCAGATGCTCCAGCCTATGCCTCTGTTCTCAGTTCACAGAAATCAGCCACCGAATCCTATGCTCCTACAACACCAACATAGATGAACTCTTCTCAGAAATCGACCTCTGCTTGGCTGTAAATCGTAGCATTCTTCAGCAGTTAGATGAAAGGTGTGGCCATGAGATCACTGAGGAGGACTGGGAGAAAATCCAAGTGCAGGTAGGCTTCAGGCCAGCTTCCTTGCTGCCTCTGCAGAATGGGCTGCAACCACAGGTCTGTAAGGGTGAGAGCCTTGGTGAGGTCTGCCGTGGATGGGGCACCCAGGCCTTTGCCATGAGCTCAGTGATGACCATCAGGGTCTTTCATTTTGAAATGTTAAATGTTCTAGTTTTGGTGGTGGGCGTTAATGAACAATGAAAACCCAGAAGGGCAAGCCTACGCTTCCTGCCCTGTTCCTATATCTGTAATAGCCTAAGGGAGGGAAGCAGGGCTCTTGAAGGACTCAAAGCCAAGATGTAGGGGAAAACATAAAACATAGAATTGGGAGTTTAAAGAAAAAAAAAAAAAAAAAAAAAAAAACAGCCGGGTGGTTGTGGCATACGCCTTAAGTCCCAGCATCTGGGAGACAGAGGCAGGTGGATCTCTGAGTTCGGGACCAGCCTGGTCTACAAGAGCTACTTCCAGGACAGCCTCCAAAGCCACCTGTCTGGAAAAACCAAATGTTTTTCCACTTTTAATTAAAAGGCACTATATATGCTATATTATTAATGCTCAGCATTTTAAAAATATTTTTGTTTTAAAATGCTAATTATAATCTGTACATCTCACATCTTAAATATTTAAGATTTTTCAATGCACTGCCCATTTTCAGAGGACCCATGTCTTGGAATTTAGTTCTCACTGTAGGTCTGAGTAACTCCTATTACAAATCACTATTGCTTTGTGCTGCAGGCTGCTCACAGGGAGATCTATGAGTGTTCCATCTGCCTGACTCCTCTCTCCCTCCATGGTGACTGCCGGCAAGCAGCTGTAGGAGCCAGCAGCCAGCGTCCCCGTGAGACAGTCCTCCTGTCCTGTGCCCACCTGTTCCACCATGCCTGCCTCCTGGCCCTGGAGGAGTTTTCACTGGGAGACAATGCCCCTTTCCATGCCTGTCCTCTCTGCCGCTCCTGCTACCAAAAGAAAATTCTTGAATGCTGAATTCATGTTCAGGAAGTTAAGACTAGAACAAGAAAGGGGCTAAAAACCCCACCTTGGTTTTGGGTCTGTCCTTTGTGATTATATAGAGGAAATATAAGGACCCATCTAACTGTAATCCTTATTATATAAAAAGTAGTTTGCGCATTTGTGAGTTTAGTCACTTGAAATAAATGAGGAATAGTGTTACTCAAAATATAGCTAATGTCTGACCAACAGTCAGGAAACTGACACACTTATCTAATGCATAAGTATCTTTACTTGGTTTTTATGTAATAGATTAGTAGCATGGTGAAGTACTTTTAATATCTAAACTGAAAAATATTAGTGGTATTCCAATCAAAACAAGTTAAACCAAACGTTAGTAACAGTGGTGCAGAATCCTGTGGTCATATATGAGACAGACAACTGAGAATCCTTGGAGCCCACAGAACTGGTGCCAGTGCTCCAATGCGACCCCACAAATGTTCAAGACCCAGATATGAAGTGGTGCGTTATTCCCTTGTAACTGGCATACATCTCTCCATTTGCTTTGACGTCACCTCTAAACATAATGCCTAGTATAGTGTAAGTGCCCTGCGAACTGTTGCTGCACTGTATTACTTAGGAAGGACAGGAAAAAGAAAAAAAATGTGTGTGGGGGTTCAGCGCAGATATAGTGGGGTTTTTTGTTTGTTTGTTTTGTTGTTGTTGTTTGGTGTTTTGTTTTGTCTTGGTATACTTTAAACCCCAGGTTGGATACAGAGAATGGTGCTAAGGTTGGTGTGTATGGTAGTCAGTGAGCAGCTCTGCTCTGGTGGTTCTTGTCCACTGGAACAGATAAAGACCCATCCAGCAGAATTAGCAGTATGATAATCAACACTGGAATGTCTATCTTACAGATTTTCAAGCTCCCTAGCTGTTTCTGTGTCGGGGATTTAAGTCCCCTTTGCCTCAGCCTCCACCAGGGAATCTGTTTTCTCTGGAAGGCAGTGTCCATGTGAAGCAGTGTCCCCGGGAAGGGACCAGTGTTAGCTCAAGACACCAAGAGCAAGTTCTCAGCACAAAGGAGGTTTATCTGCCCCACAGGGACAAAGGGTGGGGAATAACAGACAAAGACAGGAAAGACAGAAGGGAGAGAGGGAAGAAGGGGTATCTGTCCTGGAGGAATAAAGGACTGCCTCTGGACAAAGAGGAGACAGACATGGCACATAGGCAAGTGGCAGATTTTGAACGTAAAGGGGGAAACCCCAGTGTTAGGGTGAGGTGTTTATTTTAATTGGGCATGTTAATTAGGTGAACCAGAGGGGACTGCTGATTGCTGGGCTTCAATATTTTTTGATAGGTGGACCTTGGTAGTCAGCTTCAGGAGGGAGAAGTGACCAAATAAGGGAACAGACATTGGTGGCTGGCTTTCGGAATGCAATCTAATGGTTTGTAGAGGGAATGGGACAGAAGGACAAGGCCTGCCAGAGCCATGTTTGCCATGCTCAGGCAAGCTAGAGAGTCTTCACCCAACCTGGATGGGAGAGCAACAGAGAAGCAGGTAGCAAGCAAAGGTATATGCCAGGATTCAGAACTGCCCCCTACACAATGAAGGAAGTGTTTAAAATCCATATTTATATTTTTTATCCTTTTTAAATGGCTCTTTTTGGTTTATAATATAGATGTATAATTTGTGGATAAGTATGCATGTATTAGGTTAATGTTCAAGAAGTTCTAAATGATTAGAGACATTCTACTACAGCATTTGGAGACTCATTTGGAGAATACCTTAAACACGTGACAGAAATAAGCTGTATCTCAGAGTCCAACTTTTCTACTCAGAAAACTCAGCTGCAGGTGTCTCTGCCTCTAATGGGGATACAGCAAGGTTCCAGGGTCTGACTGCTCTGACCTTAGAGGGAGGCCATACACAAGCTGAGATGGCATTGCCGTCCCTGGAACTTGTGAATGTCCACAGTAAGTTCTGCTGCTGAAGTAGCGGAGTCCATTTCCACTGGCACAGGAATGGATGCTAGTTGTTGGCAACAAACAAGTCCTTAGGATGACGTACACAGCAGGCATCAACTTAGTTAGGGTTCTGAGCACTGTGAAAATTCTAGTGTTGAAGGTAAGGCCTCAGGCATCTTGCAATAGTCAGTGACAACTCAAGTAAATTTCTTATGAAAACTACCCTTTCAAGAGGACATTGCAAACTTTTACCATTCTATCATGTCTTTAGTTGGCTGTCATATGGAAATTAGTGCACTGACTGGGACACCACATGCCAGTAAGAAGATTCAGAGGCCACATAACTCTCAATGTGGCTTCTTCCTCAGAGCAGTCTTTATTGTAATGAACTGATCTCTCCCTTAGCTTAGCAGATATCTCAGCGTTATTGCAAGATAAAGCCTTCTCACTGCCCCTTCCCACTTGACTTTACTCATACTCAAGGAGCTGGCATCAGGTCTTCCTTTTTAAAACCCCACATGATGGACAGACATGAGCTCTTCCACACTTATGAATCTGTCTGGTTGCTGCTTCAGCAGGCCTAACTCCTCCCTAGGCACTCTCCTCACTAACTCATGGACTGAGTAAGACACTGCCCAAGAAGCACATCCTCAGGGCATTTTGGTCCAGAAGTGGTCTGTGCGAGCCAACCACAGGTTTTTCTGAGGCTTTTCCCAGGTCCTAACAGAGCAGTGAGAACTCTAGAAGGCTAAAACAAGCTTTGTAGGACTCTTTTCTTCCTCTCAAAGCACACGAGACAGCCACATCATTATAAAACTGAAATGATGCATGGCCCTCTATTATCTATCCTTACCACTCAGGACAGAGGTAATGATTTGGAAATGGGTTATAGATTTTTTTTTTTTTTTTAAGTACCTTTAGTTGCTACACAGGGCTCCCTATGTGGCCCTGGGAATTCCAGGGCCAAGGCTGGTACCAACTTTTCAGGCAACAGCTACAGAGTTTCCTAATCTGCAGTACAGCCAAAGCTGGACCTACTTCAGGCTTCCTGAGTCCTAAATAAAATTAACGTTTGACTGGAGAGAGAAAGCAAGTGCTCCAGGCAATGTGTGACAAGGGCAACACTCTAAGATAACTGTATTACTGTTTTCAAGCTCTCAGTCCTTGCAAATTACATCCATAAAACTGGTTTCATTTTAGAATCAAATCATCTTAGACACCTGCATATTGATCTGCTGCATGTAAAGAACAGAGGAAGAGGTTCACCATGTACAAGGTGCATGGGCAGACAAGCTAAGCCCCATCAGCACACAGGAAGAGTGATGCCTCCAAGATTTGTCTGCTGGCTGAGAACTCTGGACAAGCCAATGGGAGTCACTGGAATTCAGTGACCTACTTCTTTACTCAAGCATGGGGCAACCTCAAGCACCTTTAGTTTTCTTGGCTGTGTTCCAAAGCCATTAACTAGAGGTACACATGAACTAGAGATATTCATTCCCTGTTTCACAGGGTTCAGAGTCAGAGCTACCCATGTGTCTAGAAGTCCCTATGCCCCTGTACACCAGTGCCACTTCAGTCTCTGATGTGAGTTCACAATAAGAAATAAATATTATGACAAAGTGACCCACCCTATAGCCTGAACCAATGCAGGGCCAGTGAGATGGCTCATCAGGTAAAGACACATGACGAAAGAAAAGAACTGACTCCTGTAAGTTGTTGTCCTCAGATCTCCACCCATGAATGGACACACACACACACACACACACACACACACACACACACACACACACAGAGAGAGGAACATTAAAAAATCCAAGTTGAGACATATTGAAACTTTAATATTTTATGAAATTTTCAGACACCTTACCTTACAGATTAGCCAGGAGCTCTGTGTTTGGATGTATCGGCAAATGGTGTGCACTGAAAGTGATTGCAGTAGAAAACTGCTCTCTGATCTCTCCTTCACTTGTTCTGCCCAAAGGATGAATTTCAAGTTTCAATAAAAAGCAGAGCTGGCATTAACTAACATAGGCATAACGATGATGGAAATTTGAAAGCAGCTGACTTGCTTTGTGCTAGTACAGGAGCACACACTCAGGTATCTAGCAGTACTCATTGAAGGCATGCACTGAGTCACTCAGAGCCACAGCACCAATGGTCCTTTTCCCTAAAACTAACCTGGGAAACCAGGAAATGCTAAGATGTAAGTAAAGAAATATACTCCATGGCTTGTAAAAGTACAGCTAACTTTTCTTCTTTTTCTAAGTAAAAAAAAAAAAAAAAATTCAGACACTTTGTTTTTTCATAAATTTCTCCAAAAGAAACTAAATACAACAATCTGAGGGAAAAAAAAGTTTTACTTCTTTGTGAACACAACCCTGTTTTGTCACCCACATGGTGCATGTGAGCACCACTGTATTTCTGTGCATTGTGTACAGCCTAGGGACAGCACACGAGTGTGCACTCGTGTCTTTTATCAGTAGATTCGGGAGTTGAGAAACCATCCCAACAATTATTACAACTGAATGATTATGAGCTCATATTACACTGCGCCTGCACTTCCATGACCTTTAAGTTCTGGTAACTTTCCTGAGGTGGCGATTTAAGGTGGCATATATGAAGGTCACCATGAAGGTCACCAAAGCCTGAGAGACATGGAGGAGGAGAAGAAGAAGCAATTCCGTCTATGGGTCCCACAGGCACAACAAACACAGGAAGTGAAGCAGTCTTTAAAAAAGATTTAAAAAGTGAATTACATAGCCTATAAGGCAAAGTCTAAGTTACAAGTGTGTACAACGCTGGCACTGTGCTGTGAGAAGTATTACCAGGTGTATACACACAAATGGCCACACCTAACTCACATGTGCTTCCTGCTGCAGCTTTCCACAAACACAGTCCTGGGGCTGCCCACCAAGGCTCAGGCTTGGAAAGAGTCTAGTATTTTTCCATTGGCTTCAAGTCTAATGAAGATTCTGTAATATGAATCAGAAACTCTTGCTTTTGGTTTTTTAAGGGAATAAAAATTTTAGTTTGCTACTAGTCCAGAAGTACCAGGCAACTTTCAGGCAAACTTCTCAGGGCATAAAGCAAAGCATAAGAAAGTCCGAGTCTGTCTCATGACACATCTTCATCCAGATGGGTCCCTGCTGTAGACATACAACTTTTCCTCAGTCCCTAAGACTCAGGGTTTAACCAAAAGCTCTAGAGTCAATCAGAAAATTCCTATGAGAAACTGATTACAATGCCAAGTTCTCAGTGCTGATGAGAAGGCGGCACTGACAGGTGGGCCCAGACCCCACCACAAGCTGATGGGTGTCTGTCGGAATGTCAGGAATCAGGAGTTGTCAGAACTTGGCTGCAGAATGCTACTGAGCAATCGGATCTCACAGTGCTTTCTGATGCCCATTTGCAGAAGGCTTCGAAGTTTCTGAATCCCTTGAGGTATCCATCAGGTGAAGTTTGTGAAGTCCTGCAGGAAAAACAGGATAAGGATGAGAAAGGGGCAACTAAGGGACCAGATGACCAGACATGACCTGCTCAGCAGCAGCACAGCTTTCCTGTGGAGGTTGTGATAATGCTTCCTAAAGCTGTCTGGAAATGGAAGCTGGAGGCAGCTCTGTAGAAGTCACACCTCTTTTTCCAGGACTGGGTAACAGGTGGGATATGGCTCTTCTCAACACAGTGGGGTCCAACTTTTTTTTTTTGAGTGTATGTGCTCATGTGATTGTGCCTACAGATAGAAGCCAGAGAACAATCTTGGATGTCATCTCAAGTGCCATCCACCCTATTTATGAAGCAGGGTCTCCCACTAAACCTGGAACACACCAAGCAGGTGAGGATATGTCCTGGGGATCAAACTGAGGTACTTGTGTAACAAATAGGTTACTGACTGGGTCATCTCCCCAGCCCTTCAGTGTGGCTCTCTGCAGGGGCCCCCAAAGCATAATTCTCCACAGGCCAGAGGCTTCAAAGCACAGTTCACCTCTGCACTGCCTCTTCTGCCCCTCCCCCTCCCAGCCTCTTTCCAGAAAGCAAACTTGTCCTAACCCCAAAGTACACTGATATAGATAAATGACTCTTTTGTTTTCAAACACATATTCGCAAAGTGTGGGAAGAATACCTCAAAATATTAAGCATGTAATTCTTTTAAAGCAATGCAAAAAAACAACTATCAATAGTGTGAAAAAAATTACAAAGGAATAAATATACAAACACTCAAAGGTACTTTATAGGATAAACAACCATCACTACATTTTCAAGGGCATTAATTTCCATTTTCTCACACAGCAATTTCTCACAGTGCATCCACACAGAAAAGTCAGAGTTTAGATCATACTAAATCTTCAAGGACTTCAGCAAAAGTGAAAACTATAACATGTAAGAGTCCACAAGCAATGCATCCACAGGAAAGACTAGAATAGCACCCATGCTGCTCAGATTTTTAAATGCCTCAAAAATTAAGTTGGGGGTGGGGTGGCCATTCATTCTAAATTCCCAGTGATTTTCTCAATGGAAAGTTTTATATAACTCCTAAGCCAATACAGCCCCAGTACTTACGTAACTTAATGAAAGAAAATTTAAGCTTGAGCCTATAACTGAATTAAAAGAAAAAAATAAATCATTATAAAATAGTTTAATACCAGAAATGGCCAAACCACTGAGTAATCAGAGAACCTCTGAAAATTAAGACAAGCACTGAAAAAACTTGTCAGAAAAAGGGTAAGGGGAAGGTGTGGGGCACTGAGGGGCTTACTTGGAATCATACTGTCTCTGTGTGGGGAATGTGTACAATGCTGAATTTCAAAGTCAGGACCTTATACTTGTTTGGCAAGCATTCTACCACTGAGCCGCACTCCTGATCCTAGAACTACTCTCTTAATAAAAGACTTAAGAAGGTTCACTACCACTACTTTCCTCCTCCTCCTCCTCCTCCTCCTTCTCCTTCTTCTTCTTCCTCTTCCTCCTCTTCCTCTTCTTCTTCTCCCCCTCCTCCTCCTCCTTCTCTTTCTTCTTTTTTCCTTAATTTAGTTTTTCAAGACAGGGTTTCTCTGCATAGCCCTGGCTTCTCTCGATCTATAGACCAGGCTGGCCTAGGACTCAAAGAGGTTTGCCTGCCTTTGCCTCCAGAGTGCTGGGATAAAAGGTGTGCATCACCACCTGGCTAGGTTTCACTTCTTAAATCCAGGTGTGACACAGGACATGCATTCTGATAAAACTGCAATATTGTCATCTGTAGGCCTCCCCAGAAACAGTCCTTTGGTCACTACCACGGATACTGTGCAGCAGATGTTCTCTGAAAATACCTGTTAGGAATGTGTTAATGAAGTCAGATGTAACATCATGGGCCATTTGAACCTATTATTTAAAGAGGATCTTTCCTATACAAAAGGATTGCCTCCAAAGAATATACAAAAGGATAACAGAAAACATTTGGAAAAGAAAACAAGCAAATCTCTTGGGAGTTTTACACAACTCTTGAAAACTCCACTGTGTCTTAAGGTCAGATTGCTGACATGACACAGAGGGCGTGGCCTCTGGCAGGTTGACTACCTTAGCAGACTCTCCACAGTGAGACACCAGCACTGATACACTATGGCCATCTCAGTTGTAGCCAAGTGGGAATTTATCTGAGGTCCTAGCTACAAATGAAGTTTCAACTAGACATGTGATGAAGGGTTTCTTGACTCCTAGGCATCTGGCTGTTTTTAATGTGGTCAGTACTATGAAACCCAGGCACTAAAGTTCATAAATTTTCATTTTAGGGAAATATTTCAATCAGCTGTCCCCTCACAGTGCATGTTACAAATAAAATACACATGGAACAGTAACCTGGTGTTTTGTTTTGTTTTTTTAAGGTCATCCTTTCAAACTTCAAGGCCATAAAGGTTGGTGCTATGAAATGCCTTATTGATGCTACTTCAGTTTTCTGAAATTGGGCCTTAATGAGTCTATAAATATGCTGCCTTTTAAAATATAAAAACCACAGCCTACATGGAGCATAAGCATTCAAGTGGTATCAGGCAGATGAGTTAATGCCAAGGTTCCCTGTATTTCCTACAAGAAATTTCCTACCACCTTTCTTTGCTGCTATGGAGGTAGACGCTACAAGCCTGGGAAGCTTCCAGAGTGCTCCTCATCCTAAAGCACAAACCTTGGATCATATTCAGCATGAGTGTAGAAATAAACACAGCAAACATACATCACTCAGAGCAGACTTTGATGCCACCATAATACACAGGACATAGCACATGACAGCAAACCTCCTGTCCTGTCAGTACCAAGAATGCTAAATTGTTTTCCAGAGTTATCCAGCTTAGTGAAGAGAATTATAGGTTGTTTGTACTTAGAAAATCCAAGGCCCCTTCAAAAAAAAGGGGGGGTCTTCAATCAAACAACAGTAAAAGGCATCATTACCAGAAAGTAAACCTTCAACACCAAGTCATTCTCACCATGATTGTGATAAGAACAAAGGGATGGTTGCCATTCCCAAGTTCTCAGGGGCCCTAGGCAATGTACTAAGGCCCCACAAGAACCACCACAGTTCCTACCCACACCTTACAGATGAGGCCCCACAGTACAATGACATGCTTCCAAGCTAATCACAACCAACATGAGTCAAGAATGCAAACTGACAGCCATGCATACTTACAAACTAAATAAAGACACAAATGTCAAAGTCATGATTAGTAGAAAGAAATGTTCATAAACCTCAAGATTACCTAGGGCCTTGAAAAGTTCTTCTCGTACAGCTGATGTGAATTTTCTGACCAAACACAATGTTGTCACAATGGCAAAGAGTAAATTGTAGGATAATACAATATAGAAATTTCCCAGCCAATTAAATCTTCCAAAGTCTCCAAGTAGATCGAATCTAGTAATTCCTGTTAATAAATAAATAAAAGAACCCTTAATAAAATGAGGTGCATTCATATCTGTAGCAAAATACAATTGAAATCAGGTCAGAGTCCCCAAACTTTCTCAGATGTTTGTGGGATGCTCTGGGAAGGCTCTGCCATAAATCACATGACTGTTTCCTGGCAGGGCAACCCAAGCCAGCCCCAACTTTCATGTCTGTGCCAGTCGTTGCAAGTGATGTACAGCAAAGCGGCAGCATGAGTGCCTATCACCTATTTATGCCTGCATTAACAAGAAAGCTCACGTGCCATTCACTATAGCCCCTCCTTCCCACTAGTTACATAGGAACGATGTCTATTACACTCCTGCAACCCCAATTCCAATATCTTACACATTCTTAATGCTCGTCACATAAGTGAATGAATAGGACCATTTCCTTACAATATGCCATTAGCAGAATTTAATGCTACCAATTTATGAAGTAAGGATTGTATCGCACATGGATTTAAGTTACCAAATTCACCCACATACACATTTAAAGTCTTTTTAAGTAAAAGAATATTTAAATAAGTATATGTGCCAGGTCCAAAACTTACCAGAAAGATTGCATGAATAGTAGGATTTTTCTAACCATGGATAGGTAAATAAATTCTACCCATCAGATGGGTAAGTGGAATGAGAAAAAGGCCATGGCAGTCTTGAGGAAGACACTAAGGACTACATAGTGTTATATGGACCTATAACAAAGAGTTACAAGAAGCAATAGATACTTCCTATAGAACTATACAAACACAGTTATGTACTGCATATGCTACGGGCCATTTAAGGATTTTATGGGTGATTTCAAAAATACCTTTGACTCAATTCACATCATCAACTGATTTTTGAGTTTGGCTTTCAGCCCTGATCCAACACACTTCCATCAAACACTACTGCAAGCCTCACAGAGACGCTTATGGACAGCAGAAACTCTCCCTATGCAAACAGTGCCGTTAGAACAGGGCATTTCAAAAATAGCTCCATAGTCACTCCCACCTGGAACCAATGCATGTGAGTTTGAAAGACACTGCCAAAGTGTTTTAAAAATAGATGAAGATTAATGAAGACATTAGATAATACCTTACAAAAAGAAGTTTAAAAACCAGATACCAGAAAAGCATTCAGTGCCTATCCTGTATTGCTTTAAGATTATGACCACTTTGGCTTCAGTCTCTCAATGCTAAGCCTAAAAGAAAGGACTTTATTTTAAGGAATGGATGCCTAATCAAATACCTTACTTTTCAAACCAAGCTATGTAAACAGTTATGGTTCTACCAACACAAGCCTTAAGGCCTAAGTGAGACTCAAGACTGGCAACTGAATTGATCCCAAGATCCAAAGATCTCCTTACGTGTCCAGTAAAAGCCATAGTCACCTCATAAGAAAAGCAAACTCAAACTTCTGCATTTGTTGTAAGGCCCCCAAAGGAAAATCTGAGTTTGCCCTGGATGATGTCTACTATAATGGCTAAGAGCAAAAGGAGAGGACTAGTGTGGATTTAACACATGTATCATATATTTAATGTGTGCACTTGATTAACCATTACTATATTACTACTGACACTCCATATGGGCAAATCACCTTAACAGTCATAACAGTGATACAAATACAATGGCTAATATTTTATTAGTAAACCTGTATGTGTATGCAGACACCACTTTGGGCCTCTGCTGTCTACAGGACTATAAATAGCTTTGCAACATCCATGAAGAGCAGAGTTTGGAGGTCAAATCAGACACATCGAGCACAGAAGTCCTAGAACAGTGGGAAGAGATGTCACAAGCCCTAGAAATAGACCCCACTTGGCACCTGGAAAGATAGGGTCCAGACCTATAGGATGTCTAGGCAAAGGACAATCTCTTGTTCAAAGGCTTTGTTTTCAGGTGTTTCAGGCAGATATACACAGATACCCAAGAGGAACAAAAATGCTAGTTCACAGGCTTGGGTCTGAAGACACTATTGTTCCAGATGCACTTTAGAAAAAACCCGGCTGACCAACCAAAAATTATTCTGGATAGCATAATAGCTCTACTTAGAAGCAAAAACTATCATTTCTCTAAAATTCTGGCTAGACAGCTTTTGTCCCAGCAACAATTAAATAGTAAAAATAAAAATGTCTTTTTTCAAATTGAAAGCACCAACACTTAAGAAAAAGTAACAATGCAGAGATAAAGTTTATTATATATATGTACAATACTTCCAAACTTCTTCTTCTGGACAAAGGTAACATGGTATTAAGACAGTGAGTTTTAAAACAGTATCAAATTATCAAATACTTTTGGACAAATATCTGAAGGTCTTCACCTATCCCATCACTGTTAAAAGACAAGCAACACACACACACACACACACACACACACACACACACACACAAAGTTTCATTAGAGAGCAATGAGGCACAGGGTTATGTGACCTAGGTACAACACTTCATGACAAGCAATGTATTGCCTCCCCCATAAGGACTCAACTGAGAACGTATCGTAATTCCTTCAAAAACAACCTTTTTTCTATTCACATTTTTAAAAGAACTGGTGCACAAAATACAATGTCTTTTAGAAGGAGCAGGTTGCCCCACCCACATTGTAAGTCAATAGAACACATGTTCTTTCGCCCACCTGAGTCAACTTCTACTCTGAGCAAGCATGTTCATGTTGGCGAAACTGCACAAGGCCATTCAGAGCATTTGTAAAGTGTGGGATACAAAGGGCCTGAAAGTGATGTTATCAGTAAATTACACAAGCTTGCCTAGTACACAAGTATTTAACACAAACACCCATGGTTTTAATATGAAAGTGCCAAAATAACATATGTTCTTAGCAAATTTATTAACTAATTTTTATTAAAAATTAATCTCTAAACTCAAATAATGATTAGTTTCAATACCATCCTCACTATATTTCCAGATTCCCTCCCCTACTTCTGACATAATTTAGCTAAGATAGTGTCTAAAATAAGAATGACCTAGAAGCAGTCAAGCAATAAAATCTGCAATCATTCTAAACCTCCATGCTTTCAGGATTGGTATCAGCAACTAAGTTTCTGCTCTAGAATGGAAGATGAAAATTGAAAATCAAAGACTAACTTCTAATGTCTTCAATTTTTTATTTCGTTAAAATCTTTAAACATGTTTTTATCTTACATGTATGTGAGTTTGTAAGCATGTATGTGCAGCTGCATATGTGTGGGAGCCAGAGGACAGATTGTGAAAGTCGGTTCTCTCCTTTCACCATGTATGGGTTCCAGGGATTGAACTCAGGTAGTCAGATTCCACAGTAAGTGCCTCTACCCATTGAGCTATCTTGCCAGCCTCCACTTTTAAAAACGTTTGTTTATTTGATTGTTTGTTTAGGGGTTGTATATACCAGAGCACTCCTCTATGAAAGTCAGATTGTTCAGTCTTACTGTGAAAGTATGTTTTTGTTAAATTAATTAGAAATATGACTGCAGGCTTCAAGTGCTAGCCAAAAGGGAATAAAAGGGACAAGATTTTCCCGTCTACCATAATAAACTTAAAAACTGAGTATGAGATTGAAAACAATGGTTTTGAAAAGCCTGGACATCAAGTAATGAAGGACAGTGACTACTGAGAAATGAGAAATAAGCAAAGCGGGCCTGTGAGTGCTGCTGCTGCCTACCTCAAGAGGCCTTCCAGGAGCAAACAAGGCCAGCACACTCCCCAAGGAGAAAGGACTCAGCATTGAGCCTGAGGATGGCTTAGTGAGTAGAGAGCTGCTTAGAGTGGAGTCAGGCAGAAAACTGAGCGGGAAACCCAGAAATGACTGTTACCTGTGGCTACAACCTTTTCTATAATTCACAAGCTAGAGGAAGGATTGAACTTACTAAGTAAGTACACAAAAGATTTTAAAAGCCTGAAGTTGACCTATAAAGAAAAAGCACAATGTAAACTGGAAAAGCATACTTGATAGAACTAAGAGATGGCTAGATGCTACAGAGACTGGCATACTCAAAGACAGCAAAAGAACACAAAACAAAACAAGGAAACTCACAATGTCAATGAACTAAACTGACTCCCAGTGGCTAATGATGCACTTACTGTCCAGAGTCCCTGGAGATGAGTTCCAGAGATGCTTGGCCAGTTAAGTTCTTGCTATGTAAGAATGAGGACCTGAGTTCAATTCCAAGAATCTATGAAAGTATGAAGTCAATTCCTGGATGTTACTGGCCAGCCAACTTGACTAGCTTACACAGGTGAGCTCAAAGCCTATAAGAAACCCTGTCTGGAAAATCAAATAGACAGAGCCTGAGGAATGAAACCTGAGGTTGACCTCTAGCCTATACTCACATGCACATATGCATCAACACCTACATAAGTATACACACATCCCACACACAAATGCACACACACCACACATATACCACATACATAAATGTATACACAAGGGTACACACACACATACACACAGTCTCTATGACATTAAAAACAAGGATAAATTCCTTGAAGAAATATTGGCTTAGGGATTGCCAGCTGGAAATATTCCAAATTTGATGATACATATACATAATGAACTCAAAGACCAAAAAAATCTGAGGAGGTTCCTGCCTAAGCACAAAATAATCAAACTGCTAAGCCTCCCACAAGAAAATCATAATAATAATAATAATAATAGGAATAATAATCAGAGAAAACTTCTTATCAAAGCAATGCAAAGGGGAAAACAAATGAAAAGTATTTTTAAAGTATGCATAGAGGTTTGAAAGAAAATGCCCCCCAAAGGGAGTGGCACTCAGGAGATGTGGCTTTATTAGAGGAAGTGTGTCACTGTGGGGGCGGGCTTCCCTCAGTGTGACAGTCAGTCGACTTCCTGTTGCCTGCAGGATGTAGCGCTCTCAACTCCAGCACCACATCTGTCTGCAGGCTGACATGCTCCCTTCATGATCATACCAGACTGAATTTCTGAAAATGTAAGGAAGCCATCCTCAATTAAATGTTTCCATAAGCAGTGCCACGGCCATGGTATCTCTTCAC